GTTAAATTATGCATTGGCCTTGGCTTTGTTATTGAGTAATTCGAAATAATCATTAAAATCAAATTACTGTGTATGGTTACATACGTATGCATGTCATCCCGTCGTCATAGAGATGGAACCCTGGATAGCAGCCGCATTCATGGTAACCATACGTATTGATACAAATATGTTGACAGAAGCCATTAATATGATTACATTCGTTAACGTCTGTAATATAATGCATCATATACAGTGAATAAACTAGGAACGTATACATCAATGCAATACTATCACAGTGAAACATGGTTAAAGTTAATAACTTATTAGTATTATGATTAAACAGAATGGCGGTGCTTTCATTTTGAGCAGGAAATAGCCAATTAACATACACATCGTAACGCTCCGTCACTGGAGGGCGTGATGTACAAGTATGGTGCATTGAACAATACTTTAAATTTCAACATTTTCACGGTACGTATTCGAGATATTTAATTTGAAGCTTGCTTTTAATCATTATTTACATCTAGAGGAATATGACAGAACATTTCTGGATATGTCGCGTATTATATTCGATATTAAATGTTTAAAACAATACAATAATAGGTACCAATAATTTCACGACATTGTAATATTGTTTATTTAATTCATTATTTTTTTTAATTAAGAAAATGTATTTGTTAAGCAACTATGCCCGTCCGAATATGTATGTTCTCCAGGTAATATAATTTACTTACATGATGAATATTATATTGCATTTCAAAAAACGAGTAGTCCTTACCAGCACAACTTCTACCGTCAGTATGTAGTGTAAAGCCGTATTCACATGCGCATGCGTAGCTGCCGCTGAGTTCTATGCAAATTTGTTCGCAGTGATGTGTACTTTCCCCACATTCGCCAACATCTAATTTAAATATGATAATAAACATTTAAATAAGTTACTTATATTAGACATTTAATGTTGTATTCCCACTTTGTAAATATGTAAAACATCAATTATGGAACAAGCTAAAAACAATATTTTGACGTGGTGGTGTTTTGGCTAAAACTATGATATATTTTTAAGTCAATATTCGGTCCTAACTTTCCTCCCAATTTCATCATGAGTACTTGGGGTTTCTTAAGACAAACATGTCTACAATGTAAATCGCATTACATTCATATTCTGTAGTTAATTTATCTTTACCCGTCGACAATAGCAACTTCCGGTTGTTCGTATATTTGTAACAAGATGATGTCTAACTAATATGCAAATTTCGAACAGTTAACAGAAGAGTTCTTATTATTATTACGGTTAATTTTCTAACTAAAATAGAGCACAAAAATAAAAAGCAAAATATTTGTTATTATTGTGTTTCTACAAAATACTGTAATATTTCTATGATGTAATCACTCACCTAGACACGAATGTCCGTCCGATGACAACACGTACCCAGCATGACATGAACAACTGTAGGAACCGTTGTTATTTAAGCACATGTGATCACAGTCATTATTACCTAAAGTACACTCATCAAAATCTATTTGAAATAAACAGAAGAGTCATAGACAATTTCATATAAGTGTATTTGTGGATCACGATGGGTTAAATAAACAAAATAAATTTTCGAATTGAACGTATTTATAAATAAAATGTTTAGTCTGACACAAATATACTATAATTTCTATTTGTTCCTGCTTAGAATGTTTTTTTTTTTTTTACTTTTCCCACTGAAACTACAGACCCATACATACAATTAAAACATAGCGTTTTTGTTTTGTTTTGTTTTAGCACAACGGCAGTACATGATCCAGCGCCATCTAATGTCCAGTTACTGATTTACCTTAAGTCTATATAGTTAATGTGTTTGTGTTTAGAGTGACTGGTAGTACCCTGCCCACATACGACTGCTATAAATACGCTGCAATTTTTTCACGCGACTAGTGACCCATATAAATTTTGGAACAAGGAGATTATTTGTGGGTTGATATTCTGATACATATCGAATCTTTACACGGCTAATCTAATGTATAGTTTTTATTACCGTATCATACACCTTAGATGTGACAGAATTTAAATAGTTGACTGAATTTCACCAAATAACCAAATCAATCATATTTATTCATAGCACATACTATTTTTAGGAAGCTGTTTTTTTATACACTAGGTCAGAAGGGTTAACCAAATCGTAAAATCTGAAATAATAACATGTGTGATTGATACCACGCCCTGATTTAGCAACGTTCACATTAGCCACATTGTATAGTTTAATATACGACAACTGCAAATTAATTTTCCAATAGTTAGGAGAAATATATAAGGGCTGGAATTTAAATATTGGAGAAATGATAACAGAGTGTATTGTGAATTATCATAATATGACGAAATGTAAATTGAATGTTTATTTCATTCTTTCATATTAGATTTTTTGATTTATGAATAATTCATAATGGAAAGTAACAGTCACCTAAATGTACTACCATTCAAACTTTCTCGCTGGTATGATTTCATATTATTACCCAACCTCTATTGTCAACGTAGCGTTCATCGATTAACCAGTGACTTACCTACACACGTGTGGCCGTTGTTACTCAGCGTATAACCATGGAAACATCGACACTGATATGATCCTATGTCATTAACACACCTTTGATTACATCCTCCAAGATCAGTCTCACATTCATCTATGTCTGAATTATAAAACACATACCAATAAAATACCACGGAAAAAATTATATTGAAAATTATCACTTGTTTTATATATAATTTATGTTTCTAATCTTAAGATTTGTTCGACTGCCAAACGCTTATCGAGTGTTCAATTTATGCACATTAATTCATCTACACAATTTATTACCCAAAAGGTTATCTTACATGAAGTAAATTGTTTACATTTTTATTAAAATATAACTAAATGTTGAAATGAAATGTTCATGAAATTCAAAAGTATTGCTATACACCGAACTATAACCGGGACATTGCTTTGAGGGTCAGATATGTCTTATTGGAGGTATGGACATACATACATTTCCACAATGTCAAAATAAAACATTTAATGTTATCACTCATGGTAACATAAAGAAAATATAATACATGTATATTCTTCAATTAGGCTCAAACCTCATTATGCATAGTGTTCAAATCAACCAATGGAATGCCTGAGTTTATTTATTTTTGACCGTTGGCTAACTTTCTAGCATCAAATTATTAGTGTGTAGCCGACAGCTGTATTTTCATAAATGAATATTATTACTAGGAACGCAATTATGTCTTTGTTTGCATTAACTTGTATAATGCAGACTCATTCATTATACAAAAAAACATAAATTGAATAACAATTAAAAAGAAAATGTGTAAGATTAAATTGTTGTTTTGTTTTGATTGTAACTGACCTTCACATGATGAGTAGTCTGTACCATTTACTGCGTACCCTTCTTCGCATACACACTCGTATGAGCCTGGATTATTGATACACACGTGTTGACAACCGCCATTGGAATCATCGCATTCATTTGTATCTAAGAATTACAAAACACATATTATATACTACAAAATTATTGAGATATCAGAATATGAATTTTAACATTACTAAATTACTAAAAAATGTGAGTATTATGCAGCAGTGTAAATTTAGTTGATTGTTTCGTAGCAATGTTTCATCGCCATTAGTTACACATGAGTGCACCATAAAATAACATTAGTAATGTTGATAAGTAAGTATTTACTTTATAAGATGAATTATATGACAATTAGCTTTCACTTCGTTGTCAACGAGGAGTCAAAATAAATGATTACTCATTTGATAATGTGTATGTCAATGATTAATAATATATAACGGATGCCTACCATTGCATGTCCTGAGGTCGTCTTCAAGAAAAAAACCTTCATTACAAGAACAATGGTATGAACCTTCATCGTTGACACATACGTGACTGCAGCCTCCATTAGCCACTCTGCACTCGTCAATGTCTGTGACAAAAATTAAACTATTAATCCTGTATTTGGTTATATATTACTGTGCCACATGCCTACGTATATACGTATTAACAGGTTATTAAAACTGAATTAGGTGCACCTTGGGTTTAAATTAGTTCAATAAATATGCAATGTAGTATACAATGAATAGTGAGACGTTTAAATGTTTTATTTAACCTCATGGTAATTCAAATACAATAAGACAATTTTATATCCTATGTATGATTTAAAGAAGACAGCCTAGTAAAATGTCTCAATGTGGTTAAACAAACCTTATATAAGGTTGTTATAGACAAATTGAGAATTAATACCCACACTTCTAACATTGAAGAAGGCAGATATATTGAACGGAAGCTGGAAAGACAGAAAATGTTTCTACTGTTGAGACCAAATCGGGGGTGAATGTCATTTCATAATCTCAAATAGGAATTTTGATAAAATACATAAATCTTCTCTGCACCATGACAACAAATAATTAACATATTCAAATGGGGCTTAGTATATACGATAGAAAGCACACTGCAGTCATAAAAACTAATTTACCAGCTGCCTGCATTTTTCCGTTTTCCACCTCTTTCCTGGTATTTTTTTTATTTCTTTTGCTGTTTTGTTTGTCCAAACTTTTTTTGTATTTATAATTAGAATATGTTTTCCATGAAGTATTTATTATTTTATAGTTGTATTTGTAATGTACGTACCATGACAACTGATTTCGTCATCTCCCAATGAGTATCCATCGTCACATGAACATACTGCAGTTCCATTAATTACACTTTCACAGGTGTGTTCACAACCACCATTATCATAGTCACAACTGTCTTCTATATTATGCAACAGACAAATCAACAAAATGGCGTTGTTGGTGGAATTGGTGGTGGTTTGTAGTGGTGGGATTGGAGAGGTTCGTGATCGTTACACTCACTTAATGACAAATCCATACAAGGTTACCCAAGGTCTCATAAGGTCTCATATGAACATAGATGGCGAATTTGAGACATTTCCAAGCCAATTACAGCATGTCGCCCTCAGGTCAAAACTCTTAGGAAAGCGCATTGAACTTTAATTTGAAATTCGAACAATTAGACTTTTTGGGAGAGGAACCTTTTTAAAAGCAACCAAAATAACTTAAAATATTATAATTACGATAATAAAAACACATGATTTGTATAAAATTGTTGCATACGATCTACACGCAAAAGTATCGACACGACTTCTTTTACATATTAAAGTGCAATTATTTTTAACACACAACATACATTAATTAATACTGATATGAATTCTTACCTGTACAGTTCAATCCGTCGTCTAGCAATCGGAATCCAACTGGGCAAGAGCAAACCGTACCGTTTTCCGTTACCTCGCATATGTATTCACATCCTCCATTGTTGTCATGGCAAGGTGAACGCACTTGACATAAGAAAAATGACGTCATGTTTTACTTCTCTTAGTATTTATATCTATCGACGTACACCTTTTATTTCATTGCACTACAAGTCAATATAGTATGTGCAAATTAAAGTGCACCAGTTAAGACACGACATAATACATAATACATAAACTCTTCACATACCTAGATCGTTGCTTCCTTACAGTTTGTCCCTATTTCTCTAAAAAAGTGAATTACTTAAAAAAGGGTATACTATTTTCATGACGGGATCCCCTGGAGAGGGGATCTCGTCGAGCGAAAATTACTTATTACATGCTCATCACTAGAACACTTTCTATGTAGAATGCGATATCATATTGATACTCACCGCCGGGTATTGCGAAGGCTAGAACAATGGCTATAATAACAAGACACGTTATTCCCGCTAATACCAATCCACATTTCCAACTGGCTATCCCGGGCAATGTTGACTAGAATACAGGAATACATAATAGATATTGTTTTATTTAATGGGCGCAATCTCGTTGGTGGCATATGGACAGCCTATCCCCACAATGGCTGGCACACAGCTAGCATAACAAATCTCAGTGATTTTATTGTAAGTGTGTATCTTTCATTGCATGTTTTAAATTGTTGAAAAAAATGGAGAAAATTCAACTTGAATATGTTAAAATATATTTTTCATAATTTTCTAGAGTTCTAGAGGTATAGCGACTTTTAAGTAATTTGTAACAGATCGAATACAGTTAATGGTTAATTTTACTACATTCTGTGTATTGAGTATCAGTGTGAACTTTTAATATAATAATAAAATATATGCTGACAAGCAAGCAATTGCTACAAAATAAAATAATTTATAACTCCCAATTCGTCAATCTTTGGAGAAAAAAAATCTAGTTGTGGTTATTGGACTGCATGTACACATTCATAGTTATATCATAGAATTACTGATTGTGTAATATATATGAACACTTATAGCTCTATGTATTAATACACCATTAGAATTATGGATATATTACCTTATTTGACATTTTATATATCTTGTTCAAACTGTCATTAATACAAATTAGTTGTGTAAGTAAGAAGCACTGAAATAAATAAATAAATAAATAAATAAATAAATAAATAAATAAATAAATAAATAAATAAATAAATAAATAAATAAATAAATAAATAAATAAATAAATAAATAAATAAATAAATAAATAAA